AGTATGTAAAAAGTTGAAAGCTAATTGACTATTTAGCTGAGTGGCCATAGTGCCGTAACTGACGCTTCCTCACAATGCAGGTAATGTGCCTCATTCAAACTCCTCTAGCAATTGCTCATTCAACACAAAGTCAAACCTGCCGTACCAAAGGAATCTCCGAAGAGACACAGTACCGAAGGAGTCCAGTCTTCGTCTCAGCTCACTGGTTATGAAACGTAATACCTTTGATATATGCCCTAGCTGGAGCTATAGAAATAACTGTTTTCCACTGATCAGGAACCCTTACTTAGCTCCTGAAGTTCATGAACAAGGTCACTCAAATGGTCACATAGGGAATTTGGTTTTGAATCTCCACAGAAAAGTACAATGACATCTGGCTTCTTCATGCAACCTCGAAGCATCCTTAGGATTGGCCAGAACTGAAGGCAAGAATTTTTAAGGAGTGGCAGTCTGGCAAAGTTGAGCTGTAATGAAAAACATGTCTCATCCTCTCCATTGTTTTGCCAGCTATATAAAATGCCAAAATAACAGTAATGACCGCCAGTCACATTTTGCACACTATACAAGGTTTTTGTTTTCGGGTCCTGATAGATATGGGTGTTGTATTCTGAGAATTCTCAGAAGGGCAGACAAAGCACTTAAAGATACACCAAACCGGACCGCTCAGTCACTCAGTGCGCCCACCAATGTCCATATCACCACCTGCATAATCATCCTCAAATTCCCCTGAGGTCTCACTCTCTGAATCACTGTGATAGAAAGGATAGGCTTGATCTGCACTAGTATCACCCATCGCATGATAACCTTCCATCACAGTCTCAGTGTCCTCTATATCCTCACTCAGAAGACATGCCAAAAACATGTTCACTTTTTTCACAGCTTTTTTCCTAACCTTTCATCTGTCCATATTTAAAGTACCTTATATGGTGCTCCTGTAGAACTGACCCTGGACCCTGATGTGACCCCTGGACCGAAGAGAATTTAACGTTTTGTCTCTGCCTTTCGTTTTTGGCATACGGTACTTAACAGTGAACAGTTTTTGTTTGTTTATTTGTTTGTTTATATTCAGTCTGTTCAGCTTCGTCCAATCAGGGTGGGTGGTGGCGGGGTCCAAAATATTCGCACAGACATTAAATAACTTTTAGTTTATTGGTTTGTGTCCGAGTTAGGAACTGAAAGCTATATTTGAAATTCTTTGCCTTTCAATGATTTTTTATTGTTATATGTTATGTCATGTCTTACCCATCATATCTTAACAAGCCACACCTGGTCCCCCTTTAGTCTTACCTCTCATTCCTGCCCTCTTGTCAATCATCGCCTCTCCTTTACTCTTTTGTAGATGCAGTATTTAAGTGCTCCCCAATCCTGAGTTGCCCAGATCATTGTTGCTTATTTGGGTCGTCCTTCCCTATCCCTGGCGTGACATTTAACTTGTTCATTATAATAATTATGATCAACTACCCTCCAACCTGCCTGCCCTTGGCTCAACACGAT